AAAGATTTGAATAAAAAATACAATTTTGTTATTATTTATTTCATAAGATTCTGGTTACGTTTTTCAGAGTAATTCTTCAATGGGTTGTTTTCTTGGAGCCTTTTACCCAATCCAAGAAAGTTCCTGGTTAGTCTCTGTTAGCCAAGACTTCACTTATATACATGTGATTTTTTTTCCCTGTCCCAAGTTGCATCATTTTATCTTTTGTTTACACTGGACCACATCCTTCCAGACTGCAGGAATTGTTTTGGAGGCTCTTCCTTGGGATAACTTCCTTAATTTAATTCTGTCCTGTTATATCACACCACTTGTTTGCAGTATTCCACAGGGCTTGGTACCCAATACTCTCTCCACTCTTGTTTAATATCTACATGAAGCTGCTGGGTGAGCTCTTCTGTCCCCATGGGTTGAGATATCAATATGCGGATGAAAAGGTGGCGCAGTGGTCAGAATGTGATATTGCAGGCTAATTCTGCTGATTGCCTATTGCCAGCAGTTTGGCAGTTTGATTCTCACCAGCTCAAGGTTGATTCAGCCTTTCGTCTTTCCAAGGTGAAGGCCCAGATTGTTGAGGGCAATACACTGACTCTATAAACCACTTAGAGAGGGCTGTAAAGCATGTGAAGCGGTATATAAGCTATTGCTATAATCAGCTCTACATCTCCATACATGGCAACCCGAGTGATGGTGTCTCTGCCCTTCCATGATGCTTGGAAGCTGTAGGGAACTGGATGAGGGACAACAGACTTCAACTACATCCTGGCAAAATTGAGTGGCTTTCGGTGCATGGAGCCTCAAGAATCGAGTGTTTGTCCTCCTTAGTTCTGGACAGGGTTGCACTACCTTGTTCAGATCCAGTTCACTACCTATAGGTTCTTTTGGTCTAATAGGGTTAATAATAACAGAGTTGGAAGGTACTTTGGAGTTCCTTCCAACCCCCTACTCAACAGGAAACTACCATTTCAGACAAATGGTTGTCTAATCTCTTCTTAAAAGCCTCCAGTTGGAGTACAACTTCTGGAGGGAAGACATTCCACTTCTGTCAGGAAATGCCTCCTTAGTTCTAGGCTGCTTCTCTCCTTGATTAGTTTCCATCCATTGCTGCTTGTCCTGCCTTCAGGTCCTTTGGACAATAGCTTGACTCCCTGTTCTTTGTGGCAGCCCCTTAGATATTGGAAGACTTATCATATCAGCCCCAGTCGTCCTTTTTATTAAACTAGACATACCCAATTCCTTCAACCATTCTTTGTATGTTTATCCTCCAGTCCCCTAATCGTCTTTTTTTATATCATGGCAACCAATGCAGGATGCAATGTTCCAAGTATGGTCATACCAAGGCTTTTTAAAATGGTATTACCACCTTGTGTAATCTTGTTTCTATCCCTGTATTAATGCAGCCTAGGACTGCATTGGCTTTTTTTTGCTGCTGCCACACACTGCTGGCTCTTATTTAAGTGATTGTCCACTAGGACTCCAAGATCCTCTCATAGTTACTACTATTGAGCTAGATATCAGGTGGCAGGCAGGACCAGGAGAGCTTTAGCACAAATCCAGTTTGTGACCTTTCCTGGATCATGATTCTCTGCACATAATTACTCAACCCCTGCTCATTTCTCATCTGGATTACTGCAATGTGCTCTATGTGGGGCTATCCTTGAAATCAATTTGAAAACTTCAGTTGGTGCAAAGTGTGGCAGAAAAAGCAGTCTTTGGGACCCCTAAGGTGGCACCTGTCTATGGACATGGTTGTCCCAAAGGTGCTTTTTCAGGAGGCAACTGGGCTTTTAAAAAAGACATTTCCCTTCTTGGATGAGAAGTGAAATGTCTTCAAAGAAAAACAAAGTCCAGTTGCCTCCTGAAAAAAACACTTTTGGGATAAGATGGCACTTATTTCACCTCTGCTCTGCAAACATCACTGGTTACTGGTTTGCTTCCAAGTGCTGTTCAAGGGTTTGGTTATGACCTTTTTAAGGCCTTAATACCTGATGAAGTATCTCTTCCTGTCCCATCTTATTTGTGCCAACAGAGAGGGGCTACTTCAGATCCTCTCAGTGAAAGAACTGAGTGACTCTCAGGATCCAGAAGAAGAGCTTTTTCTGCTGCAGCACCTGCCCTTCGAGCATCATACCGTCTAGCCTTCTCTGCTTCCGTGGGAGCCTATAGATGTGCCTCTATCAATTAACTTGGAGACCACATGGGGACTGCTTAATGGGATTAATGGGAAACTCCACCTCTCCCCACCTGTTCCCCGCTCTCCATCCATCCATCTTTTGCCTAGCATATTGATGTATTATTCTCATTATATCTCTTTGTCATCGTTACTTTATTATTTTATTTCTGTTCTAATTATACTTTTTTCATTTTTCTTTTTATTATTGTAAGCTGCCTAGAGTAGCTCCACACTGGCCACACTGAGATATGCTGGAAATAAATTTAACAAATAATAATACAGAGAGTAAAATGCATAGCTACCTACATATTTTTATTTCTGGAATTAATAACAGAATATGTGATAGTGTTGTTGTTTTTTAACAGGAAAATGTGCATGAGGATCTCAGCCCAAATACTGTCTAAGGAAAATATTTTAAAAATTAGATTGTATTTATGTATTTACCTGTAAATTATTGCAATATGCTGTCCATTAATCTATCATAGAAGTTGCTTGAAAGTGCCAGTTGAAGTTCCACAGCACCTATGGCCACTAGATGCTGCTGGAGGTCCAAAAATTCCAGCACATAAACATATTTTGTACAGTTACCCCAACTGCTGGTTTTTTGTTTTGACATTGAATTAATGTGAAATTGAACAATCATAGTGTAGATTGCACTATCAACTCTATTACATGGCATGCTACAAGGTAAGGAGGTCTTTTTCAACTTTTGGTTATCTCAAAATGAGATTGTGTTTCTGATAGTAGAATATTATTGCCATCTATCCCAGAAAAAAACTGCCTAATCATCTTCAACATTCTGCAGCAACATATTTCCAGAACAGTTGGAAGCCAACATGGTATAATTCTACCATTTTTACAAATCCAAAGTATTATTTTACTCAGTTCTGCTAAAGCATTTTCAGTTTTCACGGTCAAAGGATACGAATAAAACACGTATAGTACAACCTGTATTTAGTTCACCCCAAGTGACTATCATTCCATTGCTATTGGTCTCCCTACCTTCTGAAATTAAAAAGGGGAAAGGTTCTATGAAATATTGTGCACTCCTGATCTATTCTTGTAGACCTCAGGAATGTTTGAAAACTTTTTGATAACTTTTTGATAAGCACTGAACATTTCTATTTTTCCCAACATAACCCATAAGGCCTCAGGGGTATTTACACTTTCAATTCAACAGGCTTTGTTGATCATAGCAACATGCTAAGAAAAAAATAGTATTTCTCAGTGTGTGTGTGTGTGTGTGTGTGTGTGTGTGCATGGATATATAGATATTGATAAATTAGCATCGATAATAGCAAAATGCTAAGAAAAACATATTACATATTTTAGATAAATAAACTAGATTGATGGATAGACACACAGAGATGTATTTTAATCCCAGTTAAAGGTAACCCTTTTCCAAATGCAGTGGGTGAGATAAGATTGACAATGAAAATTAAGGCACATGCATTGTCTGTGTTACTTGCAAGATTGCTTTGCTTAGTAATGTAGTTTCTGTCTGCTAGTATTATAATGAATGTTAACTTTTACACATAGATCTAAGTCTCCAATGTCTTGCTGCAGCTGCTTTATTATCAAAGTCCTTTTTTTCTGAATTTTTTTTTTAATTAAGAGTATCCTTTGTTATTCTAGCATAGGATTTCTGACACCACCAAGTCAAAAGCTATTTGAGTCTGGTAACTATGGATAAAAGAGAAAACTGAGCTGTTTGACTGTTTAATCCAGAGAAAGGGGGAAGCTTGTATTCTTCACTATTCAGATTCTGAAATTAAGCTCTCTTTTGAAGGATAGGAAGTGGTAGCTTAGATTCCTGAACCAACTATCTAGGAAGATTCTCACTCATCCAGGTCATGATTGTCCCAAAGGTGGTTTTCAAAAGACAACTGGATTTTCTTCAAAGATGTTTTGCTTCTCATCCAAGAAGCTTCATCAGTCCTGACTGAATGGTGGGAGTGGAAGCATACACACACACACATGCACACACACACACCATTCAGTCAGAACTGAAGAAGCTTGGATGAGAAGTGAAATATCTTCAAGGAAAAAAAGAAAGTCCAGTTACCTTTTGAAAAACATCTTTGGGACAACCTAAACAAACTGGAACACTCATCCCGCAACTTAGGTGTAATGTTAGGAAAGTACAGATCCCCAAAGGTGTAGCCACTTATACTTATGACAGACACCTTGATTACAACAATTTAAAACAAAACTAGCCACTAGGGATCAGCTCTCTTATAAATAAACACATTATGGCTTATTTATGGTTTGTCTACTGTTTATTTAAAAGGCATAACCTGAAAAATTATCTGTGGATTACTGATCCTAAGAGAAGTTTACAGCACAGTAGCACTGTCAATTTCCATATTTCCATAGTTCGAATCAGTGCCCTTGGTTTTTTTTTAAATAAATATATTATCAAAAACAAGTTATAACAACATAAATGTATAAATAATTGAAATATAAACAGTTGCCTTTGGTTTACAAACATTCTTCAAGTTATCCTGAACCATGCCAAACTTTCAGTAGCAAGTGTCCTACATTGCTTGTGGAGCTGCAATCAAAAATATACAAGATATTTTAGCATGCTCATATTCTGAAATATTTGTTTGAAAAGAATAAAAGTTCTATATAGGAAATAAAAGTTTTTCATGCATTTTATAATTACTTATGGACCTCATAGTTGAGGGTGTAATGGTTGGCTGAAAAACTGGTCCTTTCACTTATAACTATTTTGAACAAGGAATTAATGAAATATTTTACATGATATGTTTAAACTTAATTCGTACCATAATGACTGCAGCTGTCAAATAGAACTTTGTGCACCTTTTTAAAGTGCTGTATTCACTGCTATTGGAGTCTGTGTGGATATTTCAGGGGAAAGAGAGGGTATGGGCCTGACTGTAGAGCAGAAAGTTGACACCGGATTTTGAGTTTTCCGGTTTAATTTCTTTAAGAAGATGTTGTAGTTATCCATATATTCTGATGTCCACGGGTTCCTGACAGGAAGACAAATTGAATGTTGACAAATTGAATGATTAAAAAACATTTTTTTTGGATATAGTCTTATTTTTCTAGCTATATAGGCACATCAAAGAACTGTTGATACTTCTTTTCAGCTGGTGGTTTTTGGTGAAATTCCCTTCTCTAAAGACCTGCCAAAGATGCAATTTACTGCTACAACTGATGTACATAATTTGTGCTGCCTTTTGGTGGGTAGGAGCAGTTTTAATAATGGTTCAGGACTGTATCATTTATTTACTGATTAAATATAAATATGCAATGTCACTTTTAAAACTTTATTGGTAATTTAAGGCATGAACATACACAATACTTCTTCGTCTATTATTTCATCTATTTTAAGATATTATTCTTCTATCTCTCAGATACTATTACAAAATTGAAATAAATCCAATAAATAAAAAGAAACAAAGGCTTTTTGGTATCATACATTCAGAAGGAACATAGGGTGTGGTGTGACCCAGTGGTGGGATTCAAATTTTTTTACTACCTGTTCTGTGGGTGTGGCTTAGTGGGCATGGCAGGGGAAGGATACTATAAAATCTCCAGTCAGAGGTAGTATTTGCCAGTTCTCTGAACTACTCAAAATTTCCGCTACTAGTTCTCCAGAACTGGTCAGAACCTGCTGAATACCACCTCTGGTGTGACCTCTATATATAGTGATAATTTTGATTACTGCTTAACAGGTTCACCTCAAAAATGTGGGTTGAGAATTCTTTGAATTAGACAGATGCTGTGGCCAGGAATGTAAATGTTACTAATCCAAAGCACTGCCCTTTTTTCTTTAGCCTCTTTTTACTATCAAAATCCAGACAAAAATGCTTACTCATTATAGTAGCCATCATTGAAAAAAAAGTTGGAGAAATTCCGATTTGCTTGATAAAAGCCACTACGGACACTGGACCAATGTTTATAATCTCTTTGGTAAGTACTAGCATCAGTACTGATGGCAAAATCTGTTAAAAGAGCAGATATGAAACAAACATTTTCAGTTATTGTGTTTTTTAGCTTCTGTGGGAAAAGTGGATATTTCCATAATTATTGGAATATTTTCATAATTATTTATATCTTAGCAACTACATGTATTTGACAAAATTTAACTAACCTGCCTGAAAAACAGAAGATCCCAAATGTGATTTCTTAATTTCCTTAAGTTGTGTTTGATTAGCTCGACGCATTTCTAACATAAATTGTTGATAGTTGTTCCAGTTCTGCCCCAATTCTTGCTTAATACAAGGAGTACCTATGTTTCCAGGGAAAAAGAAAATCCCACATTGTAACTTTTTTTTTCATCCAAAAGATCACTGTGGAACCAAATACATTTGGAGAATGGCTTACTAATTATTTTTCATAATAATATTTGAACAGTATGTATAATAGCTTATTAAAATGTTAATCATGTTTAGGATGATTTCTTTTTCCATTGGTTCAGTGCAGATGGGCTTTTACACCCTTTCCCCCATAACTTTAAAGAGTTCCCCTCCTTTGCTTGCTTGTTAATATCTTGTATTTAATTCATCACTTTTTCTGTGCTTTTTGGAGTAGGATTTTGGAACAACCTACATTCTGCCATTTGAGAATAAGGAACAGAAAAACCAGCCCAACTTAGCCAGTCCTGGAGTCCATGAACTTCTTTAGTTCCCAGCTGCCTTCAGCAGAATAGTACTTAATTCTTGGAAATCCCTTTGATTCAGGCCATTCATTGTACTGAATGACATTCATATGTGGAGAGAAAATTCAGGTATCAGAGTTAACTAAGAAAAACAACAAATTCAATAAAATAAATTTTAGTGAAAATAGAAGCAGTAATTGTATTTCAACAGTACAAAAAAGTTGTAACAGTTAAAATATGAATATAACTTGGAGAAATACATTATTGCAGCTTTAATATTTGTGAAGACTTCCATTTTTGGATTTTTTTTTCCATGAAAATCCTTAGTGATAATTGTTTTGGTTTTATTTGCACAGTGTTTCGCTTTTTCTATAATAGTGTTGATTTGTATTTTAACATATTTCATAGAAGATGAAATATGAAAATTTGAAGATTTTCTGAAGCTAGAACACTAGTAGCTACCGTATTTGCCGGCGTATAAGACGACTTTTTTGCCCTGAAAAACATGCCTCCAAGTGGGGGGGTCGTCTTATACGCCGGCAAATACGGGTATATTCTTCGCCTTGTTGGTGAGGAGGCTCGCTTCTCCCTCTCCTTGAGGTCATAGCAGGTGCTGGCGAATTGCAAAGGGTTCCTCGTAAATTAGCTGCAGATCTCAGAGCGGGGACTTTGCATTCAGTTGTAGCCTTGAGCGTCGGGTTACCCGTAGCTCTGCCAGGGAGGGATTACGCCCCGCAATCCGGCCGGCTCCCTCTCGCTGAGGTGGGGCAGAGGTGGGATGTGGGTCCCTACTACCGCTAAGGCTCAGCTAGAGGTAGCGCAGCTCTTGACCCGGCTTGCTCGGTTTCTTCCTTCCGTTTGTTTTGCTTCGCTGGCGATTTCACCTTTTGTGGAGCTGGGCGAAGGGACTGATTGGACTCCGCCTCTGGGGCTTAGACGTTACCCAGAATCAACCTGGTTTTCAGGCGCGTCCTTGGATGGACTCGGGAAAGGCAGGTGGAGAGGCTAGAAAGAAAAAGGATCTGGAACTCCTTCTTTCCTGCCAGATCCCTGGCAAGCAGCGTTGGGTAAGACCAGGCAGGGCCTGGCGTTTTCCGAAAGGACTTGCCTGTTGAGTGACATCAGCTTCTGAACTAAAGCCCACTATGTCAGATACAATAAAGCAGAATGGGTGTCTTTTTCTCTTTAAAGACGAAACAGAGGTTGGGGGTGGGAAGAGAAGAAGGGGAGCGATCATGTTAAAATGACAACTTTCTAGATCCAGTCCCGAAGGGGGAAAGGAAAAAAAACACAAACGCCTAATTTCCTTAATTTCACTGCGATTTCTCCTCTTTCTCACATCCCACATTGTCTTCTCTTGCTGCGGGGAGCAATGTCACCTTTTTACTCTGGTATCGATGGAAAAGCAGGTTTGGCAGCGGTATCAAGTAAAAGACAAGTGAAAGGCTGAGGAGGATTGACATCAAGATCAACTTATCTTCATTATGGGCAGCTTTGCAGGGTAGTTCATATTTCAGTTCATATTTCAGTTCATATTTTAGCAAGCATAATTGAATGATAGTGGCTGGCAAGTCAAATCTTAGATGCATTGCTAAAATGGGATCTGCAAATGTGGGGTTTTCAGAAAGCTAAAGGAAGGGGAGTGTGGGTGTGAAAATTTGGATATAATTAATCATGGCTAGTTTAAAATGCAACATTGCCACAATTAATAGAGTGAAAATTATGCTTCTGCAGGCCATATTTGTGTCTTTCCGGCTTAGCTGAAATAGAATTCTTTTAATAAAGTTGCCTGTCCATGACAAGTCATGGTAAATGGGTAATTTGAAATTTAGGCACACACACACACATTTTATAAAACTATGAACTATAACCTGCTCTGAATCGGAAAATTACTTATGTTCTATTATTTGGCATACTTTCACAGCCTTGTGAGTTTTCCTGCATGTCATAAGCATTTGAATATAAATTAACATGTTGAAATCAAATCTGATGTTCTTTTACCTTTTATTTGGTATGTGGAAGGTGTGCGGAAGAGGGGGTAGTCTTATACGGCGAGTATATAACAAACTCTATATTTTGAGTGGAAATGTTGGGGGGTCGTCTTATACGCCCAGTCGTCTTATACGCCGGCAAATACGGTAAGTTAAACCAGTAACTTGCACAATAAGCTCAGAAAAAACATTGCTCAGGTTTAATGGAATTCAAGAGATTGCATAGCAGGGCTACCTTTTTTAAAATTCTCTGGCTGAAAACTAATAAGAAACATTAATATCCTGAAGCTAATCAATCTGGCCAATATATTAGACTCTGGCAGCATTCCCAAAGATAACTTCATTTAATGGATAAAGCTGTCAGAGAAACGTTCTGAAGAAAAATAAAATTTGAGAAAAATAGAGAATGTCCCAAAAACCCTTTTCTTGAAGGCAGAAAACAGAAAAGTTACCCAGCCTTTAAAAAGTGCAAGTTGAGAGGCCCAAAGTTACCCATATTTAAAGGAATCAGTAACATTTAACAAAATCCTAATTCCCACATTGTGTGGAATAGAGGTTGCCTCAGCCACCAGAAATAACAATGGTCTCACAAAATGCTTTTCAATTCACTGAAAAATAGCGTTCCACATGAACAATTATATGGAAGGTTATCGTTCTAACAGTTTATACAAAAACTCTGTATGAATGTTTAACATATTCACATGCACACAGGTAGTCCTCATCTTACAGCCAACATTTCTATTATTAAGCAAGACAGTTATTTAGTGAGTTTTGCCCCATTTCACGATTTTTCTTACTACCGTTTTTAAAGAACAAGGTTGCTAAATGAATCTGGCCTCTCTTCACCTGGCTTTGCTTGCCATGTCACAACAGGTGATCACATGGCTCCAGCACACCACAACTGTCGTAAATACATGCCAGTTGCCAAGCATCTGAATTTTGATCACATGCCTGTGGGGCTACTGTAATGGTCATATGTGTGAAAAACAGTCATAAGTCACTTTTTCAGTGCCATAATAACTTTGAAGGATTACTAAGTGAATGGTTTGTAAGTCAAGGATTATTAGTAATGCCTGCAGGCTAAACTGGAGCAATCAATGAAGTACTTAACTTCTCAATTTTACTTGAATGTAAATTGATCAAAACCACATCATCTAATTTGATATTTATAATACTACATACTTCACCACATACTCTTGTGGTGAAGGATGGGCCCTTTTTACCTGGCATAGCAAATGTGTCTCTTTGAGGAATTACGCTCTCTGCCTCCCTTTTCTGGAATGCAGTTGGCTCTGAAGGAAGGTGGTATTTTTCTTGATCTCTCTCTACTTGCAGGAAAGCTAGAGGAGCTTCTTGGTTGCTTGATAAACTCTCATCTATTTTTACAGGATAAGGTGGTTCCACCTCTCGACAGATGGGTTCCTCAGCGTATTTCATAGGTTCCTTCTCAACGAGCCTTTCAAACTCCTTCTTTTTTAGCTGAGTTTCCAGTTGCAGTTTCTGCAAAATCAAATTACAAAGGCAATGTACCAGATGAAGATTTTTGTTTTTAACCTATAGAATAAGGAACCTTTAAAAATGGAAGTGTGGCTCTTGTAACAATATGATAGGGCAGCCTTCCCTAATTTGACATCTTTCAAATGATATTATCAGATGTTACAATGTTGAACTGATCTTTTTATATCTTTTACGTGCTAGGGTACATTTCCTCCCTCTCCTTTATCTGCTCAATTTCTGTAGGTAATCCTGAAACCTTTTACATACAAATTCTTTTCCCAGATCACAATGGATTCTACTTTCCTGGACATTGAAATTCTATTGTGCTAACAGCAAAAAACAACAAAAACCAAATTGACTTACCTCCATTTCCCTCAACATGACAAAACCATAACTAACCCTTTAATAAGACTGAATTATAACCTGTGTATATATTTTATTTTATTTTATTTTTGCCTTCTTTTGTCTATGAATCTGACTTTTATGTTACTGATGTAAAGCATTTAAGATAAAAAAATAGTTTATGCTGGTAACAATAGTGATAATAATATTCTGATTTATCTTTTTTAACATGGTTTTTTTTTTTTTTTTTGGCCTTTGATGGAAATAAACTTTGAACTTAACTGAACTATCAGTTTTATGCTAGCATGAGAGTTCCTATCTCCAATGATTTCTGCCTACCTGATACATTGGGACAGAGCGTGTTCCAAATCCCTTCTATTAAATATTGCAATTTTGGAGGACCAAGGAAATGTGCCTTTTCTATTGCAGCCCCCAAAGATTGAAAAAGCATCCCCTCAGAAATATGGATAGTATCCCTTTTCCTTGGAAGACCCTTAAAATCTTGCTTCATCCCCAGGCTTGAGGTTAATGTATATTGGTCTAAGGGGCTGTTGTGTTTTTATTATTGTAGTTGTTTTTATTCTCAGCTTTCTTGTTTTGTTTATATTTTTAACTGATTATGCATGGATTGTATTTTGTAATCTGCCAGATGTCTAACAAAGTGGATGGTCATAACAAATTTAATGAAAGCAATAAACAATCCAACATATAATATGGTTCAAGGTTGACTCAGCCTTCCCTTCTTCTGAGGTCGGTAAAATGAGGACCCAGATTGTTGGGGGCAATATGCTGACTCTGCAAATCACTTAGAGAGGGTTGTAAAGCACCATGAAGTGGTATATAAGTCTAAGTGCTATTGCTATTGTTAATATATGAAGGATACTGAGTTAGAGAAAACCGTTACCGAACATAAATATTCCACAGCTATAGCGATGGAAACAAAATCAATTAAATTCATCAGAGTTGTATTAAAAACATTTGTACTAAAAAGATTGCAACAAAGAAGAAAGCCTGGGTATTTTAGGTATTATTTTAAAAAGATAATTCTTTCATTACATAATTCAAAAGTCACTAGATATATTTCAAATAAGTGAAGTAATTCCCCTAAGATTATTGACTACATGATATATAGTTCTATGTTACTTTAAAACATTTGTTTTAAAAAGCATCTAAAAGTGTATCATAATTAATGATTGAGAAAATTATAATTATGTAGATGTAGAAAAAAATCCAATATTCACAGCATAATAAAAACCTCACAAAATGGTACAAAACAGCTGTAACGTCTACCTTCTGGAAACTTAATTATATAATGATATCTTTCCATTTTTCTTTCCTCTACCATATTTCCCTTCCTGCCACATCATGATCTTGAAATGGCAGGAAAGCTCAGGAGATCCAATAATTCTAGAAGTAATGCTTGTCAGAATGTGAGCTCCTAATAGGCTGGTTGCTCTTGCCAAGTAAACCTAAGGATATCCACAGCAAGGCCTGATGAGGTTCTATAGGCAGGAGGAAAACAAACCTAGTTAGCAGGAGGTTTTTCTAACATCAAATTTAGAAGAAGGCAACAGTGAAATTATGAGGACTTTCCAAAGAGATAATATGCTCTAGTTATACAAAAGACACCAAACTATCCTAAATTAATATTAAAGAGCTGACTGCAAGTAAACTAGGTCACAGCTGGTGCTATACTGAAAGAGGAATTCCTTATTTTACAAGGACATGTAAAATAGGAAAGAAGTGTGGACCAGTTTAAGAAATGGAAAAGATTAAAGAAGAAATGTAAGTATATTGAGTTTTATGTATCAAAAATAAGTAAACTTGGATGGGCCGGAATGGAGCACTAAAACAGATGTGTGCATGGCATTTTTGTTCAAAGTGTTGAATACATAGAATTATGGATCATGCCTAAGCTAAAACAACCATTATTTCTTTAATGGAGTATAGATACTAAAAACCAGAAGAGCTCAGCCACATTTCAGTGCACATCAGAAATCACACAATGCGTGGAAATCAGGAAGATATCTAGCATCCCTAAATTCTCCCGCTCAACAAACATTATCCTGCCCTTTTTCATAGCTATGTTTAATGTTCTCCCCATAATGGGAGATTTCTAAAATCCCCATGTATCAAATAACTTGTTCCTGATGCACAGGAGCCATTGAAACTACCACAGACATGCTGCTCTTTTATCACTATTATAAGCACATTTCCTCCCTGCTGCCATATTCTATAGTCAAAATGAAAGCTTGTCGTGAATTTTTTCACATCCAACATGAAATCATTCATCACATATTGCCAATTGCCAAGGATCAGGATCATAGCATGAGTTCAGTTCAGAAAGATTTATTGCTCAAGCCTACATAAAAGAATCTGGTCAACTAACAGTTAGCACTAAATTGGTGCTAGAAGGGCCAATGGAATTCAAGGGGGTCTGGACTTGGACCTCTTGTGGCAATGCATGGACTCTAAACTGATGATGCATTTAACCTTCCAGCTCTATCTGCTCTTCTAGACATATAATTGAGCTAAATTTTCTGTAGTGGCAATTAAAATTTGCAGAACAATAGTCAGCTGGAGTATAGGCAAACACACTGAAAAATGTCTTTTATTATCTTTAACACAATGTTTTTTCTGGAGAAAATGAATATCTGTAAAATCTGGATATTGACAAAGAATGAAAGAAAGAAGTTGCCTTCAAATAAGGGATTTGGTTACTAATAGTACTATGGACCTGAAAACCCCCCCAAAAGAACTAGTCTTGGCCAAAAAAACAAATGAGCCAGGCATACCTGGAACAAACAGAGCTTCGTCAAAATGTTGGAAAGTGTATTATACTATAATGTAAGTATAGTAAGTATAGTATAACCATCCCTGAAATGATTCACATGATATTATGACACAAATACAGAGAGGAGGAGAGTTTGCACCACAATGTCACAATGCATCTTTCATATATTCTCCTTTTGCCTCTCACTATCATCACCTGATTTGCAAGTTCACCTCAACCAGCTGAACATTTGCAAGCAGAAATTCAGGTACTTTGGGAGATGTGTTTTATCTTTTTCCAAACATATGGAAGTTTTCAAAAATTGACAGAATCTCTGTTTTGAGGGTAAACAGGAGAAATGAAGAAAATTGGACAGCTTTGAAATAAGAAATTTATATTTGATGTCTGAAAGCCAAAATCAAGCATCACTGTTAATTATATAACTAATGTTAGCTCCAAAAAAATAATTAAGGACAAAACATCAAGGAGTAATTAATTAATAAAAATATTGCATACTTTTGAGAGATCCATCATAGGTAGCTCACTCTGGAACTCTTCATATGGTTTATAATCCATCATATACAAAGTATTGTACATGCTCTTTTTCATTGGTGGCTAAAGTGGGAAAGAGATGGAAAAATATAATATAATCAATGTATTAAGGCTTATGTAATTAGATTGCCTAGTAAAACAGTAGAATGGAGAAATACTGTTAACACACGTGTTTTTCTAACTAGGTAAGTGGTAGGAGTTGATATACTGTTTACAATTATGTATGTATACAAAAAAAACACGCAATCTAAACCTAAACAAGTCACCTGCATTATAATATTTAAGTGTAAGATCAATGTAGAATCCAGATTAATGGAATTAAGGTCAGTGATGATTTGAAGTAGAGGTAGAATATAAGAAAATATTCCAAAAAACCTTAGTTTTCTTAAATATTAAAACAAAGGAAGCAATAATTGCTTCTGCCCAAATACTGTTTAGAAACAAGTGATTCTTCTTTTAATGCATTCCATTAATTACTTCTATTTTGAACAGCCTTTTGTCAACCATATCTGAGAGCACTGGGGCGGGGGTGGGGGGAGAGAGAGAATAAATAAAATCCTTGTTTTAGCTATGAAATTACCAAAATGAAATATCAGCTTCTTAGTAAGTCCCATTGGATAACATAAAATTGAGACATTGTCAAACTAGTAATGGGATACAATACAAATAAGTGTATTGTCATGATGAAATCTAGTAGAACTGAATTTGAGAAGGAAGTTTTTTTTTAATTAAACTAACTTTTTAGCTTTCTGCTGAATAGAAAATCTAGCCATTGAATTCACCTGGCAACTTTATCTTAAATAGAGTTTATCTTTAATATGCTTTGAGCAGGGTAGGAGATTGGAAAAGAAAAGGAAAGAAAGTGGGGAGGGGAGAGGAGGAGAGGAGAGAAGAAGAGAGGGGAGGAAAGGAAAGGATTGGATTGGATTTGTGGGGAAAAACTTCACACAAATTCATGCCTCACCCTGGAAAGGGAAATTCGCTGCATGGTATCTGTCATGTTGCATCGATTATCTGGCCAAAAAAAAAAAAAAAATCAACAAATTAACAGATTGTCTCCAAGATGGTTCCAGAGTATCTTACAAACTTTGCACAAGAGATATATTTAAAGATAAGTTTTCTTGAATCATAATAAGAAGTTTGGGGCATGTTTTCAACTATATAATATAGGGAGATACTTCTCTTCATATAGATAGAATCCTCCTTGGAGGAAGTTATTTTGATTTTTATACATTTTTAAGTATCAGTGACATGGTTATAAAAATAACACCTTAAATATTGAAAGAAGTATTAAGAAAAAAGCTTTCCAAGAGTCATGTCATGCACTATTGGAAATTGCAGATAGACACACAGACAGATAGGTAAACCTCTATAAAAAGAAACAAGGCAACAATGAAAACATTACTTTGCATCACTTAAAAACAAAATAGAGAAATAAAAGCAGAATATTAACTTAATTCAAAGCAGATGTGGTCCATGAAATGAAAATAATGTACACTATGATTTAAATGTCTAATGTTGTCATTGGGTAATATACAGCTATAGAATATATGTTTCAGTTGTTTTATACACACACATACATGCTGTGTGTGTGTGTGTGTATTATGTACATATGTAATTCATTTATTGGGTTGTAGTTGAACATATATCTTGCTGTGTAATTTTAGCCATCTATTCTTTTGTATGGTTTCATATCCTGAATAATCACATCATATAATTATCTTTTAATATAGCCAATTCAGAACCACCCACATCCAGTTATTCATAAAACATCCAATTCAATTTGCTTAATTTACTCTTTAATACCAGTTTCCTTGTTTCATGTTATATTTTTGTTCCTAATTAAAAATGGGTATTTCTCTTTCAATAAAGCCAGCATCCATTGTTTGGCCTTCTTATAAATTTGCTCTTGTTAGATCATTATCTCCAAATCTACTTCTGTAAATTTGGTGTTTTTCAGGTCAAAAGGTATCCAACCATACATATAGCAAAAGAATTACATGATCAAAGTACTGTGCAATTCTTGTCTCATTTATGAGGATGGGACTGCTAAACTCCTTTTAAATAAAGGATGCAAAGTGTGCATCCTATAGCGCCATTTTTGTCATCCCAAGAATTGGCAGAACCCCAAACTGTCACTTTTTAAATTTGAAAGGTTTAAAGAAGCAAAATAGGTGCTTCTGAATAGATTTTCTAAAATACATTTTACCTGTCAAGAATCCTGAAACTCTTACCTCCAGAGGTAGGATCGCATTGGTGCCATCAATATGTGGAATACCACCCCCAGTACAAGATTAGTGCAGACTTCAAGCTGCCAGACACTGAACATTTCCACTTAAATGTGAATTTTCTGTGGTAGGTGTGAATCTGAAGTTGGATGTCAATGAATGGGGTGAAAGGAGTTGAACATATTTGAAGAGTACTAAGATGGGGAAGGCTGCCCTGAACATATACTGATTATATAATCTTAGCTTCTGTTCCTTCTCATAAACAGTAAGTAAAGCAATTTTTCTCTCATTCTTTTCAGAGTATCCTTTCCTTTTTGCATTGTAAATTAGAGTTCAGCCCGTTTTCTTACCAACCTTCTAAACAATCTGCAAGGATGATATGATGGATTTACATCTCTGACCAGATGCAAGTGTAAGGAATGTAAAATTGTTAGAGAAAGCAATCTGTGAATTCCTCATGCAAATGGATCTCTCACAACATCACTTGGAACTGAAATCAGCAGAATTGTAATGTATTGCATGGCTATGTACTAATGCCACCCTAAATAAAGAGCTACTAGGATACCTTTGAGCAGAGGTTGTGACACTGGCTGTTCAGGCATCGTTGCAATGCTGCTTGAATGGATTCTATTAGGCCCCAAGAGGGAAGCAGGACTGTTTCCAGGGGAGTAGAACTTTTCACCTTTATGACACATTGGAACCTCCACACATTCTGAAGCCCGTATCCCTATCCTTGAGGGAAAACTGCACAGTGCCTATTGTTTTCTTAAAATTGTAGGACAGATCCTTTTATCAGCATATTGATAAGAAGAGCTTCTTCTCGGGCAAGCATGAATTTCACCCAGCAGAAGCAATGATGTGGACATTTATTTATGAACTCCTTCTTCAGGGGATAACTGTTCTTTGGGACAGTGAGCAGCAGAAGTGCCAGGGAGGCGATGGGAGGTTGTGGGAAAGCTGCTCCCTGCCAGCTTCCCACAAGGAAATTCAATGAAGAAGCTGAAATAAAATATGTCTGAAAAAGATGATCTAATGGGACACAGGTTGTTCAGTATGTTTTAAAATGTTGAAATTGAGCTGCTCCTGGATAAATGAAAAAATAAATGCAGTTAAATCATTATACTACTCAAATAATCACTTTTAACATTCTTATAAAATGCAATCCAAGAACTTGAGTGAAAAATAACATTATGTTAAGGAATAATATATGATTTTCTCATTCTAGATTTTATTTCAAAATTTATTTATTTATTAATTCCTCCTAGAATTCCAGGGACTTCACAATTTACTGTACTATTAAAGGATAAAAATCTCAACATAACTCTTCCCCAATATACCTACAAATAAAATATACAGATATACAGATACATATTGATTATATAGATTTACATATAGATATGTTAAATTTCATATACCACCAAAATACAAAAGTCAAACTCTCACACTGATGCTAATAGAAATTAAATGAAATCCTTTCTAGCATAATATAGGAAAGCCAAATCAACAGTTGATTTTTTTTTCTTCCCTAAATATAAAACTCTACTGACACTAAAGCGATTACAATCTACTTCCTCCTTAATCCAGCTAATACTCATGGGGGAAACCCTCAGGCTTGGGATTTAAGTGTTCATGCAATTAATTAAGAACAAACCCCAGTCTTGAACCAAAAACACCCAATAAGGAAGCTGATTTCCTTTTTCTTCTCTTCCTGTCTTCGAGAGTACTGCCTAATTTCCTATGCTAACAAAACAGATTTCCTTTTTTAAAAAATCCCTTGCTTAGCACCAGATCATTCTGAAGACAAAACCATGAATTGAACTCATGTTAAAATTAAGACCATGACTGGATCTGGGTATTGAAATAGCAGTTTTCAAAAGAGAAGCTGTCAGAAGTAAGTGTGTGGTAACAGTGAGCGAAATGTGTTCTGTTCAGACACAAACATTTATTTAAGATCAATTTTCCTATTCTCTGCCTCTATCTTTCCCCTCTGTTATTAGGAAGGTCTTTAAGAAGAGACTCCTGCTTGAGCAGGGAGTTAGACAAGAAAAGTACTGGCTGGTAGTGGTGGGAAGGGGTGGAGGGGGCAAGTCTGCACTCAGTTCAGAGGTCCAGAATGGGGCAGCATCAGCGGCATCAGTTTTCTCTTCCCTCTCGGCGCTATGTTTCTGCTCGCTTTCTTTTCCTGTGCCTTCCTCAGGCAGCGAGGGGGGGGGGCGGGGGGGGGGGGGGCAGCAGAGACGTCAGGGCTGCTCTCCCTCCTCAGTAAGCCAGGCCTGAAGGAACGTGAAGAATTGTGGGTGAGCGCCGGAGAAATGTGTGTTGGAAATACATTTCCAGCCCTCTCTCCTCTGTCCTGAAGTAGGATTGAATGTGGGGAAGGGAGCAGAGGGAAGGGTAGGAAGGGGGGGAGACCAAATGCCCAGACCAAAAGAATACTAAGGAAGACGGGCTCCTAATAACCAGCCTGTTTGTGTAGGTGAGAGCTTTTTGGGGCTCGATACCCTCCTCTTTGGCCTCCACATAGGGAGGAACCCTTCTCTGCTTGGAAGCAGCGGGAGAACCCTGGAGGTTAGCCTGGGGGGGGGAATCTTCTTATGTGGAGGCCGAAGGGGGGCTGTTGCCTGATTATTAGGAGCCCATCTTCCTCGGCACTTCCAGCCCAGCCCTCCTTCCCTCCCTCAACTCCAGGCAGCCACACCTGGCAAAGGAGAGATAGGTTTCCTCTGACTTGGGGGAGATATGAAATGACAGGAGACCAGATTGTGGGGGCTCTGCTTTCCTTCTGTTTGACAGGGAGCCAGTTCCTCCCCATCCAGATCTTCCCAGCCTTCAGGCCCCTCTTTCTCCCTTTGCTCTGCCCCACAATTATGATTAAGCATTTATGACTTTGTTATAATTATATATGTGTGTGTGTGTGTGTATTTATATGTATATATATATAAAATTTATATTTAATATAAAAAATAAAAAAAATTATATTAAATATATCATCTTTTTTTAAAAAAATTCGTATTAGTAAATTCGTATTAAAAGTATGAGTTTGGTGGTCCCTGAGGTCCAAAAGGTTGGCAAGCCCTGATCTATAGAATATCTGCCATCTTCTGCACTGAATAACCTTCAGTCCTAAGGGAGGTTCGGCTGTGCTTAAAAGCAGAGCAGAAGATCTAAAGACTAGCTTGGAAGCAAGAAATCCAACCATTTCCTGCTTCCTACCTAATACAAATCTCCCAGCACAGCAGAACAGATAATGGTCGGAAAAAGGAAAAATAGTAATTTAGCAGGCAAGTTTGCCGGGTAAGGCGTGGGCAGGGAGCGTTCTCGTGGGCCATTGGGCTGTGCAGCCTTGTGTTTCTGTGCAGCCTGGATTAATTGCTTTGAGGGGTGCGATTTCTCTGCAGCCCACCCAAATTTTCTCATGGCTCACCAGTTGGCGACTGCTGGACTAGAACACTGGGTCATATCTAACAAAATGAAATTCAATGTAGAGAAAAGTAAAGTCCTACACTTAGGCAAAAAAACCAACAGTACACATATAGACTCTGAGAGGGATCTTGGTGTCTTAGTGGACAACCAGCTAAATATGAGCCAGCAGTGTGCAGCCGCCGCCAAAAAAAAGCTAATGCAATCCTAAGTTGTATTAACAGAGGGATACAATCAACATCAAGGGAGGTACTAATACCACTCTATAAAGCCTTAGAAAGACCACACCTAGAGTACTGCATCCAGTTTTGTTCACCACATTACAAAAAAGATGTTGAGACTCTAGAAAAAGTACAGAGAAGAGCAACCAGGATGATTAGGGGACTGGAGACTACCATGTTTCTTATATAATAAGGCCGGGTCTTTTTTTTTTGAGCCCCGAAAAAATGGCTAGGCCGTCTTTTTGAGGGTGACTTAATTTTCCCCCCCCTTGCATCTTCGGGCGGGCGGCAATGGCTTGGATGTTGACCTTGGCGTTGGTGGGGCACTTCATATCGGGGTCAACGCAGGCAGCACCATATCCGGGTGTGCAACAAAAGTACTTCCTAATGGCAAGCCCCCACCACCATTCCCCCCATTTTGCATGTTTTAATATAGGCCTTAATTTGGGGGGGAGGGGCTTAATTTCATTTCATGCCTATAAAACATGCTGGGACTTCCTATTGGGGGAGGCCATATTGTTGGAGAAACAGGGTAAAACATATGAAGAACAGTTACAGGAACTGGGCTTGGCTAGTCTAGTGAAGAGAAGGACCAGGGGAGACATGATAGCAGTCTTTCAATATCTGAGGGGCTGCCACAGAGAGGAAGGGGTCAAGCTATTTTCTAAAGCGCCTGTAGGCCAGACAAGGAATAATGGATGGAAACTGTACAAGGAGAGATTTAACCTGGAAATAAGGAGAAACTTTCTGACAGTGAGAACAATCAACCAATGGAACAACTTGCCCTGAGAAGTTGTGGGAGTGTCATCACTTGAGACTTTCAAGAAGAGATTGGACTGCCATTTGTCAGAAATGTTATAGGGTCTCCTGCTTGGGTGCAAGGTTGGACTAGAAGGTCCCTTCCAACTCTGATTATCTGTTATCTGTTAACTACTATACTAAATAAACCCCCAAGCCAAGTAATTATATTATGGTTTAGACCAGGGGTGTCAAACTCATGGCCTGTGGGCCAGATGGGTCATGCTCTGGACGTGCCCACGCCCTGTTTAGCGAAGGGGGAAAAAGTTGTGATACGTCATGTGACAACACCGTGAGGATGTGAGTTTGATACCCCTGGTTTAGACTAAGTGGTAACTTACACTGAATATATTCTCTGTAGCATTCATATATTTCAAATATGTTTATAATATGAATGCCTTGCATGATAAATATGCATTATAATTGATTGTCCATATTATAATCAAACTGCTGGAATAGACATGTATCATCTTGTTACTCTATAGCAGAATCTCAACTTTAACAACTTTAAGCTGTACATACGTCAACACCCAAGATGCATGGACTTGCATCATTGGAAAGATAATGTCTTGTCTCTGAGCTTGAACCTGACATTAGCCATTATATCTCCATTTTTAGAAAGTCTATGTGCAGTTCCTGAATTATTATTCCAATTTTTATCCACAGGAATTGCACCTTTTCTTAGTCACATCCTTGATAAAAATCAATGTAACGTGAGGAATTATTGTGTTTTCCTAATGTTAATTGTCATAATAGGAAAGAAATTTTATTGATTTATTTATAAAATTTATATATCATTTATTTTACTGTATACTGTACTGAGCACTTACTGTACTTTGCTGTAACAATGCTTGAACAGATTTGGCACCTGGTGAGGACAGTCAAGTTAATGTCTTCACTCTTAAATTGCTTATCACAGGAAACAGGATTTCAGAGATAGAATGCTGCTTATACTGATTTGGGGCCAACTGGATGCAAATTAGGTTCCTTAATTAGGTTTATTCCTTCCTTCCTCCTGTACTCTGATCCTAAGGAAACTTAGGAAGAATTGTCCATCTGTCTGTCCATCCATCCATCCATCCATCCCACTCCTTCCCTCCCTCCTGGGTTATATAGATATATAGTATTCCAAGCTATAAGAGACCACATTTGGCTCCAAGCCA